GCCGTGGGCTAGGAGGCCAGTCAAAGATGAGACGAAGCTCTGGTTATAAAGAATCATTGTAAGCCAGGCACAGGTGGCTCACATCTGTAGTCCTACCTACTCAGGAGGCTGAGAGCTGAGCATCAAGGAACAAAGCCAGCCTGCTCAGGAAAGTCTTGTTTCCCATTAATCAGCTTAAAGCCAAAAGTTGAACTGTGGCTCAAATGGTAAAGTCCCATCCTTGAGCAGAAAAGCTAAGGAATATTTTCCAGGCCCTGAGTTCAAGTCCCAGTACTGGCACATACACACAAAGAATCAAGATGTAAAGTCAATAAAACTTTGTCCACCCAAAGTCAGGGAAATCTCAAAGTACACACACACACACACACACACACACACACACACACACACACACACACACACACACACACACACACACACACACACACACACACACACCTTTCTTCTACCTAATTGTCTTCTCCCTGTATTTTCTGAAACAGAAATCTTTTGACTGTCAATAGCTGTAGGAAGAAACAGGATCACACTTGATCTGGGGAAAAGCACACCCCAGGGGACTCCTTCTAGGTCAACAAAACAGAGAGCATGAGCTGTCCCTGAAGTGAAGTAGCAAGTGTTGCAGGGCCACAGAAAGTGGCTTCCCAGTGCTAGTGGTAACTCGGGTGGGTGGCAGGAAGGCCCCAAAACAAGCCAATAAAGAATTCTAGGAAGAGCAGCTGCTGTAAAATTGCCAAAGCCACTCTTTTTGTCTTTCAGGCCCTCAAGAAGAATAGAACTATCTCCTCAGGAGCCCCCACAAGCAACAAGTGGACCAAAATAATGAATTAGCAGTGTATCCAATTGTCTAGAAAAGGCTGCCTGCTAAGTTCGTGAGATACTATTTCCCAGAGGTCAGGACTCAGGAACTGCCGCACCAGCCTGAATCATTATGGTATTTCACCATGACACAGCCTCTCCTATATCCACTGTTATCTGCAACAGCAGCCCTTGATAGAAACATGTTTAAAATGCTTCTTGTATTTTTAGTAGCAAGACTTAGCTTTTCTGCTCATCACTCTTCTTTTAACTCACAAAGAACAGACTACTTTTGCAGTTCTACCACTATTGCAGTTTCACCATTGAAGTAAATCTCCCCATTTGATGGTATTCTAGCTTATTTCGAACTTTCTAGTTCAGGGACCTAGTTTAACTAATGATTATTAAATAAATGAAGAAAGTCAGACACCAGTGACTCAGGCCTATAATCCTAGCTACTCAGGAGGCAGAGATCTGAGAATCACCATGTAAAGCCAGTCTAGGAAGAAAAATCTGTGTGACTCTGATCTCCAATTAACCAGCAAAATGCCAGAAGAAAAGCTGAGGCTTATGAGGTAAAGTGCTAGCCCTGAATGAAAAAGCTTAGAGTCAGTGCCCAGGCTTGGAGTTCAAGCTCCAATAACAGAACAAATAAATAAATGAAAGAACAAAGGAAAAAAAGGAAGGAAATATATAGACCATTTATTTCAAATTTGTCACTTCCTAGCTCTCCTGCAACTTCCAAAGTCCTGGTTTATTTGCAAATTTGGTCTCTAGCATTTTTCACCTAGATTAACTGAGCAAAGTAGCTGTGCCCAAATTATCTTTGATTACGTTCCAGAGTTAGTTTCTGATGCTTACAGACAAGAATACTGACAGATAAAGAATAGCCAGATCAAGCCAAATAGCAAACTCAATTAAATGAAGTCATATAAACAGAAAATGAAATGGTCAGTATGGCCTGACAAATAATTTAAATGTAAGGCATTTTATTTAGCTCTACATTTCAATTAGGATTTCTCTGTTTTCGCTGTCTGGGAAAAGTTGACTAGCATCCTTCTATTCTATACCATGTCCTTCCCTAGGATGTTTATAGTCTCTCTATTCTTTTGGGGCATCCATTTTTAAATACACTGTCTCTCTCACAAATCAAATTTGTTCACAAAGAAATATCAACTCTCCCTCCAACTTATACCCAGGTATGCAAAAAATGCAAACATTTGGAAATGCACATATATCAAAAAATTCTTTATATTACAAGAGGAGTCAGAGTAGTTGCACGACCTTGGACAGATCATTTCACTTCTTTGTATCTTAGTTGGATACATGGTAAAATGCAGGGCAATAATGATATATATGTGCCTTACAAGATTGTTGTTAAAATTAAACAGGGCAATATAAGTCAAGGTTACAGCTCATAAAGATTCCACACATTCAACAAAGTAAATGTTCAACACCCAGTTCATAGACAACCTGGAAATTTTACTGAAGAACTGATCCTGGGAGACAGCTGGAGAGATCAGCACATAGCCTACATTATGCATGAATATACACATATACATATATATATGTGAGTGTATATATATTCACACCCATATACACCTACATATATACATAAATATATATATATAAACATATGCATATTATATACAGAGAATAATATTGAGGATACACTGTATAGGGAGTATTAGAGTAGTGTATGTAGTAGTAGTAGTAATATAGAATGTACATTCTAACTAGTCTCAAAGCCACTTACAGCCACAATGCTGTGGCTGTTTTGCCCACTCCCAAGCAGAGCTCAGTCTCTTCTTCTTTGTGAATGTTCTTAACTTCTCCCTCCTTTGCTCATTTTCCTCTGCCTTCAGAGCATGGGAAAAGGATTCTCCTCCTGGGCCAGAGACACAGGCCCTTCAACTCGCACCCTATCATACATGCACTTTTTCAAGGAATGACACTCCCTTACCAAAGGAAGGCTCTACCCTGAAAACAATAGAACATACTCCACCCACTGGAGCTAGATCCTAGTCATTTGCATAATACCCTTGAGATTTTTTTAACTACTCATTTATTAATATATATTATTGAATTATATGTTTCTTTCAATAAATGGACTTTCAAAACTAAATACAGTCATATTGAATGGAAAACACATTGCACTATAACAGGCAAAATAGTATCACTTCCCAGAGTAAAAAGATAACCATAAATAAATACCTGATTTTGAAATAAAGTTGTTGGTATTCCACCTGAATTCACTATGCATTATTAATAATGCGTGCATCACATTTTGATAAATGTGAACCAAACATCCTGACATTCTTTGTCATGGACACTCAGAGGCTGTACTAAGGAGGAAGTGAGTGAAAAGCCTGTGATATTTGCCTGTTACTAATATTGTGGGTAGAGAGGGGGAGTGGGTGAGGATGAGCATATGTTGGCAGGATCTGGCTAGAAAACTGACAGCAAGGATAGTCCAGCAACAAAATTCCAGAGTGTGATCTCATCTTATAGCTCCCACAATTGTTCTACTGAGCCCTGAGACCATTGTTTACTTAATCAAATTGCATTGGGCCCTTACAATCTAACGCTACTATAAACACAGGTATAATAGCTAGCAATGGGAGGGATTATAATATCTGAATTGTTACCAAAAATGTGCATCTTAACTCATTGATCCAGTTTGATGAAGTGTCTGGAGCTTCAAACAATTTTATAATGTACCACCATTGATATGCCTTACTCTGGTATTTCAATTAACAAAATTAAAATTGAGATTTCATGGATTCTGTGGATTCCAAATAAATGTCAAAGCTTTGAGTAGAAAATTAATACATGCCACTAGTTTAAAAAAAAATCTATGTTTAAGTCCTGACACTAACAAGTCTGTGCATTTGGTAAATAACAAAGTCCAACAAGTTTCCTATTGAGAGTGTAAAATGTTTTACGGCTAAACAGTCTTTTATATCAAGGAGAACTAGAACAAAAACCATTTACACATGCATGTATTACACCAAAGACAAACAGATCAACAACTGTTCATTAAATACCATCTCCTCCAAGGGTGACAAGTGACAATGTTGATCATTATGAGATACATTCTACCTTCCAAGAATTCCCTGGCAGGACAGAGCACATGTATGCAACTCAAGTCACACCATGCTAGATTTTCTGTCAAGATTCTTGACAGCAACCTTTTGTTTCCACTCCCTGCTACATCACACACAGACACACCAGGTTTATACTTGAAGCATGTTTTCCCATAGGTCTCAAGTAAAAGAAAAAAATGGCTTCAGTGATTGCATGAAAAAATATACATTATATGGGATTATCCTCAGCATCAAATACCATGAAATAACATATGACTTAGCCTCCTCAAATCGTGTTCTTTTAACTGTTTTGTTATGCTAAATAAAATGAAGGAAGATTTTAAGAAGAAAGATCTCAAGGAATCATCCTATTACTTCATCTCCAAGACTGAGAGGAAATTACACCCTCCACCCCTACCCCACCTCCCTGCCCAACCATTAGCTTAATGTAATTATACCATACAACCACCTAGGGTCACATGTCACTGACTGCATGTCCTAGCTCAGAAAAGAGGTGGAAATGATGGAAAATACTAGAAAAAGCTAATTGAATTTATAGTTGCAGCCGGGTGCTAGTGGCTCACAACTGTAATCTTAGCTACTCGGAAGGCTGAGATCTGAGGCTAGAGGTTCAGGCAGGAGAGTCCATGAGCATCTTAATCCCCAATTAACCACCAAAAAATAATAAGTGGAGCTGGCTCAAGTGGTAGAGCACCAGGGATAGAGTGAAAAAGATTAGGGACAGCACTCAGGCCCTGAGTACAGTCCCCAGTACCATCACACACACAAAAAAGAATGTATAGCCTGAGGTTTAGATACACAGATATTCTTAAGTTATTTTACTTGCATTTAAATGCATCTTTCTTCTTGTTACAGAAATGACTGCCTGCTTTTACTTGGCAACTCGGTAATGCAGATCTTTGTTTTAGCACAGACAGCTAAAATCATTTACAGTCATATCACATGTATTATTTAAGCAGAAATCCTAACATACTAACCATCCAATGGAATCATATCAGGAGTTATATAGGACACAAGAAAGAAAATACACATCCATGAGCTACTAAAACAGGTTTTACTAAGCTTCCTAATATAAACACATACAGAACTGCAACATACCTCACATTAGCATCAAGTTTGTCCATTACAGGAAATAGACATGGGTGAGTTGGATTTCAGTGCCCACAGAATCCTATAATGGGAAACAAAAAGATGTTAAACAGAAAAATAACAGGCACTATTAAAAGAAAAGAAAAAGAAAAGGCTAAGTGATCATTGCTTCCTACTTGTTAAGACTACTGGTATTTTTTCAGAAATTTCTAATAAACAGTGCATAGCAAAGAGTATCTGTAATATTAAAATATGAAGTATGAAATACTTTCTGCTGAAAGTTGCAAACAACATATATAGACACTTCTTTGTGTGTGTATGTGCGTGTGCGTGTGTGTGTGTGTGTGTGTGTGTGTGCGTGTGTGTGTGCGTGCGCGTGCGAGTCATGGGGCTTGAACTCTGGGCCTGGGCACTGTCCCTCAGCTCTTCAGCTCAAAGCTAGCTTGAGCCAAAGCACCACTTCCGGCTTTTTTCTTTTTGCTTATGTGGTACTGAGGAATTGAACCCAGGGCCTCATTCATGCAAGGCAAGCACTCTACCACTGAGCCACCTTCCCAGCCCCTAGATACTTCTTTTCATTCTGTGTTAATCTATTTAGTGATGATTCATTATTCTTCCCAGATATAGCGCTTCTTTCTAGAATCTGCATTAAGAGAACAACTAATTGTTTAATTGTTATATTAAAATAGTAATGTGTTGGTTTTTTTTTATTTTTTTTAAATTTTATTTTATTTTATTTGAGAGCATACTGTACAGAGAGGTTACAATTACATGGGCAGGCTCTCTCCACTTCTCTTCAATCTAGTATTAGAATGCCTAGCTACAGCAATAAGACAAGATGCAGACATAAAGGGGATCCAAATAGGGAAAGAAGAAATAAAACTCTCCCTCTTTGCAGATGACATGATCTTGTATTTAAAGAATCCCATAGACTCCACTCCCAAATTACTCAAGCTGATTCAAAACTTTGGCAAAGTAGCAGGTTATAAAATTAACCCCCCCAAAATCAATGGCTTTTCTATATGCCAACAATGAGAAAAGTGTGGCTGAAATTAGGAAAGCAACTCCATTTGTAATAGCCCCACAAAAAATAAAATACCTAGGAATTAACTTAACTAAAGAAGTGAAGGACCTCTATGATGAAAACTTTAAAATCTTGAAAAAGGAAATCAACACAGAACTTAAAAAATGGCAAAACCTCCCATGCTCCTGGATTGGAAAGATTAACATCGTGAAAATGGCAATACTTCCCAAGGCTATCTACAAATTCAACGCAATACCTATCAAAATTCCACCCTCATTCTTCAAGGAAATAGAAGAGGCAATCCAAAAATTCATATGGAACAATAAAAGACCCCGAATAGCAAAAACGCTCCTCAACGGAAAGAACACTGCTGGAGGAATATCAATACCAAATTTCAAACTCTACTATAAAGCCATAGTAATCAAAACAGCTTGGTATTGGCATAAGAACAGACCTCAGGACCAATGGAATAGAATTGAAAACCCAGAAATGAACCTACAGACCTATAGCCATCTAATCTTCGATAAGGGAGCTAAAACAATAGAATGGAAGACAGACAGCCTCTTCAGTAAATGGTGCTGGCAAAACTGGTTAACTACACGTAGAAAACTAAAGCTAGATCCTTATATATCACCCTGCACCAGAATCAACTCCAAATGGATCAAAGACCTTGAAGTCAAAGCAGACACTCTGAAAACATTACAGGATGGAATAGGAGAAACCCTGGGTCTCCTTGGCTCAGGCCGAAATTTTCTGAATAGAGACCCGGAAACACAACAAATCAAAGAAAGGTTGGACAAATGGGATTGTATAAGGTTGCAGAGCTTCTGCAGGGCAAATGACATAGCTAGCAAGATCAATAGAAAGCCCACGGACTGGGAGAAGATCTTTACTAGCCATACAACGGACAAGGGTCTCATATCTAAAATATACTTGGAACTCAAAAAATTAAACCACCCAACAACAAATCCTCAAAGAAACAACTGCCCAATAAGTAAGTGGGCGAAAGACTTAAAGAGAAGCTTCTCTGAAGAAGAAAGAAGGATGGCCAATAGACACATGAAGAAATGTTCAACATCCCTAGCCATAAAAGAAATGCAAATCAAAACAACATTGAGATATCACCTCACTCCAGTTAGAACAGCAAAAATCAAGAACTCTAACAACAACAGATGCTGGAGGGGATGTGGACAGAAAGGAACCTTACTTCATTGTTGGTGGGAATGTAAACTTGTTCAACCACTTTGGAAAGCAGTATGGAGGTTCCTCAAAAGACTCCACATAGAGCTCCCCAATGACCCAGCAATCCCACTTTTGGGCATTTACCCTAATGTTTACAAAAAAGACCACACTAAAGCTACCAGCACAACTATGTTTATTGCAGCATTATTTACCATAGCTAAGATATGGAACCAACCCAGATGCCCCTCAATAGATGAATGGATCAAGAAAATGTGGTATATATACACAATGGAATTCTATGCCTCCATCAGAAAGAATGACATTGCCCCATTTGTTAGGAAATGGAAAGGCTTGGAAAAAATTATATTAAGTGAAGTAAGCCAGGCCCAAAGAAACATAGGTCCCATGGTTTCCCTTATTTGCAATATCTAGTATAGGTATGAGTCAAGCGGAAAAAGTCAGAGAATGTGATGTTAGGAAAACAAACCCTCAAATATGTATTTTAATGTTTTTGTTTCTTTCATGCATGTGTTTCTAACGCATTTATAAGATTATTTCTTGGTTGCTTTGTATGTCCCTCCCCCACAGTGTAACCCCTGCTTTCACTATATTTGATGTCAGTATAACATGTGGAGGAGATGGGGACAAACAAGTCGTTTAAGGATTCAGGTGGACCTGTTGCAACAATGAGAAGTACAAAATGTCATGTCAAAACCAGCTTTACAATGTCGGAGGGGGGGGAGGGGGGGTATGATTGGGTGGGGGGGGAGGGGGAGGCTGGGAAGGGAGGTGAAGGGTAAACAAAGGAGGAGGCTGCAATGCTTGGTAAGAAATGTATGCATTATCCTGACCATGTAATTGTAACCCCTCTGTACAGTATGTTCTCAAATAAAATAAAATAAAATTTAAAAAAAAAACAAAAAAAAAAAAACAATTACATGGGCAGGATAATGCATACATTTCTTACCAAGCATTGCAGCCTCCTCCTTTGTTTACCCTTCACCTCCCTTCCCAGCCTCCCCCCTCCCCCCCCACCCAATCCTTCCCCCCCCCACCGACATTGTAAAGCTCGTTTTTGACATGACATTTTGTACTTCTCATTGTTGCAACAGGTCCACCTGAATCCTTAAACAACTTGTTTGTCGTAATGTGTTTATTTTATGATTTTGTTTTCTAGGAGGATTTTTCAGGGTTTTTTATTGCTTGCTTTTTTGTTTTGTTTTTGTTTTGTTTTGTTTTTCCAGTCCTGGGGTGTGAACTCAGGGCCTAGATGCTGTCCTTGACCTTTTGTGCTCAAGATTAGTGCTCTACCAATTGAGCCACAGTTCCACTTCTGGCTTTTTGGTGGTAAATTGGAGGTAAGAGCCTCATGGACTTTCCTCAGAATCCAATGGCAATCCTCAGAGGTCAACCTCCTGAATAGGTGGGATTGTAGGCTTAAACCACTGGCATCTGGCTCCTTTCCATGTTGTTGTTTTTTAAAATCATTTTGAGAGTGGGGTGCATAGATCTATTTGAAAACATAGTGAGTTATGGTAATTCTCTCCCAGAAAACAAAAATGTATGCATACACATACATACATACATACATACATACTATCTATGGAGCAAGCAATATGACATCCAGGAACCCAAAGAACCCCATACCCATCCAGGAACCATAAGATTAAAGAATCTGCATTCTCATGTGAGGAGTGTTCACTTTCAAATTATTCAGAATTCCTCCACCATTAACCCTCAACACCCTGCTCTAAACTGGCACTCACTCAACTTGACCTTAACTAACTATGCATTTTCACTCTTCTAACAAAATTTCCATCATATGTGCTCCATGGCCTGGTGATGCAGGGAAGGCAGAGAGTACTCAGCTAACTTTTCCAGTTACCTGTTGCAAGTCCCTTTGTTTTCTGAGCACCATTCTTTAATTCCTGGTGAATGGAAGAGATAATCTCTGGGTTCTCTTCCAGCTCTGAGATCCTGTAATTCCATCTGCTGGTGTTCTAATTGAATCTCACTGAGAGGAAACATTAAATCTGTTTATCCACATAATAGAACAATGAACCTTAGCCTGGACCTTTAGGTCTCTTGGCCTGGAAGGAGCAAACACAACAAGGACAGCAGCCAGGAAGAGAATGGCCAACCACCAGAGATGGAAAGGCTACTGAGACACTGTGTTTTCCCAGGTGTGTGTTAGTGCCTTTGAACCTAACATTAGCTCCTGGAGGCTGTTCCAGGGTTGTGATAGGCAAGGGGAAGGCTCAGTCACAATCTTGACCTCAAGCAAAGAGCTCTCTTGTATATTTTGAACTGAAAATAACATTTTATTTAAAATACGTAAGTACAAAACCTTGAATATTGAAAAAACAAAGCTAAGTTCTCTCTCTCTGCCTCCCCCCCCCGCCCCATCATACTTGAAGACTCCCAAAGTTTTCTCTTCCATCCACACTCACTCTGCCTACCTGGCATCTCATGGGGGATAATTAAAAAACACTGCAAACTAAATTCTTCATGTCTCACCCCAACACAAAAACCTATCCTTTCTCTAGGTCCTCCATTTCAGTGATGGCGCCACTACTTACCCAGTTACTCAAACCAAGGAGCTTCTTTCCTCATGGGTACAATTGAGTCATCCACACATTCATTCTCTCTCCTTTTCAGATGATGTTTCCATCTCACCTTTCCCATTACCTGCAGAAGCAGCACACCTTGAGCCAAGCCAACCCCTTGGCCCTGGAACATTGCTACATGCCCCACAAATACCTCTTCTCCCTTCAGTAGCCAGAATGAGTCTTTCAAAACATGTTTCAGAACATTTCTTCCCTGCATAATATTCTAATGGCTTCATGTTGCACTCAGAATAAAATCCAAAT